TTGTGGACCTGTCTTCCTGGAATGTCACTTTCTCAAGTGTTTCTTAGCTTTAGTTTTATATCTCCCTTAGATGAGGCAGGAATGCTAGAAGAGGCTAGAACATGAGCAATATCTTTCCTCTAAGTAGAATAAGACTCTAATGTCTATTTGGATTCTACTCTGGAAAGTAGGCCTTTATTATTTGTAATCCTGTTGTCATATTTCACTGTGGTTACCATTATGGATTGAATGCTTGTATCCACATAAAATCATATTTTGAATCCTTCATTGCCACTGTGATGGTATTTGTAAATGGGGCCTTTGGGAAGCAATTAGAATTAGGTGAAGTTATGTGAGTGGGACCCTGGTCTGAAGAGATTAGTGCCCTTATAAAAAGAGACACCAGAGGGATTGTATGGCAGCTTAGAATTTAGCCTCTATGCTTCCTTCTCACATGTGTACTCACTGAGAAAAAGCCATGAGAGTACACAGCAAGAAGGCAGCTGTTTGCGTGCGAGGAAGAGGGCTTTCAACAGAATCTGATCATGCCGACTCCCTATTCTATAACTCCTAGCCCCCAGAACTGTGAAAAAATAATTCTGTGTTTTTGAAGCCACTTGGTCTATGGTATTTTGTTACAGCAACCTGAATTGACTTTTCTGTCTGTGCTAGCATGAGGGGATCTATAGAATTCTTGTAGGTAAAATCCTTTAAAGCTGAGTCCTTTAAAATCCTTAAAATCCCTAAGACACAGCTCCCAAGAATTTCTTGTGTCCGTACTGTACCTCCAGCATTTGGAGAAATTACTTCTCACGTGTTCTACCAGCTTAGGACTTCAGCTGCTTCTGTTCCAGGTAAGCAGATCTTGGCTATGGCTCAGTGGACTTAACATTCTCTTCAGATTTGGGGGTGGCAGTTTGCCCTGAAGTCTCAGTTCTGTTGGGTTCAAGAAAGTCATTGTTGATATACAAGGACAAGAATAATGACTTACAAGCTGTTTCCATGTCAGGGCTGAAAACGAAAGTCTGTATTTTTTTTTTCTTCAAGCTTTATATTTAGCGCAGTGCAGGAAAGAATATTGTGAATTTTCCTATAAATTACTAATTAAATAATCCATCACTTTCTAAGTGATTTATGATGCTTTCTTTATCACATTAAACACACATACATTTTCTTTCATTTGCTCCAGCATCTTTTTCAGTACTGTCGAACATCTTTCGTTTTGGTCTCTTTTTTTTTTTTTGTACCAGAGCCATACCATTTTCATTTAAACATTTTTAATGATGTATTTTGTAATAAGGCAGAATAAATATTCCCTTGGTAACTTCTTTTGAATCTTCCATTCTCCACTAAATATCAATCCAGATAAAATGGCCATTTTTACCATCTCCTCAATCCTGTCCCTCCCCAAAGCAATCCTAGTGGGATCTTGGTCAGTACTACATTAAGCCTAGAAAACAAGGTGTAAAATAATTGCATGGCTTTAGTAAGTCAAATTATAAAAATGTCTATATAAAAATGTTTTTCACACCAGAGAAACTTCGGTATTTACATGTGTGACTTATTTATTTCACTTGAGTATGATCTCAATATGCATCCATTTTCCTGTGAATGACTAATTTCTCATTCTTTATGGCTGAGTAGTATTCCATATTATAGAAAAACCACATCTTCTTTATCCAGTTGACCTCGATATTTTTGAAGAATACTGCTTAGGTATTTTATAGAGTGTGTCTCCCAAAAGGACTTGATTGATCATTTTCTCATGATTAGACTGGTGTATATTTTTTGGTAGGAAAGACCACAAAGGTATAGTGCCTTTGCATTATATGATATCAAAGGTACATTCTGTCACTCTGACTTATCCCAGTGTCACTACTTTCTAATCACATAGCAGAAGTACTGTTTGTCAGGTTTCTTTCGTATCTTCCTTTCCATGTTGTACTGTTTGGAAAGAAGTCCCTATGTGAAACACACACTTAAACAGTAAGGGATTATACTCTACTTCCTTATAATCAGAGTATTTACATTAATTAATTGAAAATCTTCTACATGGGAGGTCTATTTCTTCCTCATTTATTTATCATTAAATTATGTACTTAGTCTGATTCATGGACATTCATTTCATGTTTTATGTTATTTTTTTCTTTTATTGAGTTTATTGGTACATTTTAGGTATACAGTACAGTTACATTCATTATTAGGATCTTGTACCTTTACATGACAGGTGGTCTTCGTTCTTATTTTTTCCCCTTGTCCCTGCCCTTATATTTTATATTATAATCCAATGCAACTTTATTTTGTACTAATTTATCCAGCCATGGCCATTGGGAATTCTTTCAGTTGGCTACTATATTCCTTGGACATACTTCTATCATTGTGTGTCTTTGCTGAACGCTTTTTTTTTTTTTTTTTTTTTTTTGTTTGGTACCGGGGATTGAACTTGAGTCCTTGTGCTTGCAAGGCAGGCCACCAAACTGCAGAGCTAAATCCCTGGCCCTGTTGAACACTTCTTTACTGACTTGTACTATAAGGTATTACAGGATTATCTTGCATATTTCCTGAAAAGCTCTAGAATCAACAATTTATTCAGGGAACCCTGACTCCTTTTATTAGACCATATTATTAAAAATCAACATCTTGGCATTGATTATTCTCTTGCTTTCTGAGATACAAATTTAGCAGAAACTAGAATTTTTGAAGAAAAATTATTCACCAAAGGAAGTTATTGCAAACCAAAATGTCCAATTCTTAGTAGGTATAAATTCTAGTAGTTGGGCATCTACCAAATACCAGGCATTAGGCCAGCCACTGGTTGAGAATAAGAAGTGAAATGTTTTAGTGTGTGTTCTGTGTGTCTGGAGGCATGGTAGGAAAAAATAAATATACATCCTTTTGATAAGAAAAGGAGAAGATAAAAGGACCACATGTTTGAAAATGACTTGAAACTGAGGCACTTTAATCAGCAGACATTGATAAGGCTTTTGAGGCATTTGGATAATGCAAAGAAGACAATTCTGGTGATTGGTGGGAAGACTACTCCTAGCAGAAGAAACATCAAAAGGAAAGAAATTGACATGTTGGAGGGACAGAAAAGATGCTAAAGGAGAATGATTGAGCAAGAAGATGGAGTGAAAGGAAAATAGAAATGAGAGTGTACCACCTGCACACTGGACAAACCAGAGTGAGTGAACAGGGGAGGGGAAGAATGGCCACAGGTAGTATTTGAGGATGAGCCTTGGGTCACGTGGCCATACTGGTATATTTCAGGATCTCTCTCTAGGAAGTTTGGTATCTTCATTATGAGTTGTCTGCCCAGATATCCATGTTTTAGCTCCTAGACTTTCCCAACAAACACACTGAAACTTTGTTCTCCCTTCACTTCTATGCATTAAAATCCAGGCTTCCAGATTGTACAATTCAAAAGAGGGGGAGCTACTCATGCTGGCTGATTCAGCCTGACCTTTTCTTCCTCACTGTACCTCCAGATATGGTCCCCTCACTCTGGAATGCTTTTTCTCTCACTGTGTTTTCTGTTTTATGTTGTGTTTTGTTTTAGGATTTTTTACCTTCCCCTTCCACTCTGTCATGGTTCCTTTGGTTCCCACTCTAATGTGTTTTCTTTTTTAAAGAATATACATTGTCCTACCTGGGGCTGTTTATTATCTGCTCATAGTTTTTTGGCCTCAGATAAAACTGTCATAGGGAGAATTAGTCACATCAGTTGGAGTTGGAGAGACAGATGAGTAGAAACAAGGACAGAAGCAAGTTGAGAGGGGACTCTTATTAGAGAGCTAAGAAGTACCTTGATGTGTTCTCAGGCATTTTGATGCTGCAGCACACTAAAATAAATCTGCTGACTTAATCCATGTTGGCTCTGGCTCTAGGCTATGCTCTAGAATGTGTGGTGTATGTGTGTGTGTTTGGCATTGGGCGTATAGAGCAGGGATTTGGGGGAATTCAGGTCCCAAACAGTTTGGTAGTTTAGTGGTACTCAAGTCTATGGTGGTCTCATCTCCAGATTCTCATTGGTATCATCCATTCTTGGCTATGAAAGTCAAAGCATTTATTATCTTGATCCCCATCTCACCTCAACTTCAAATTGCCCAATTGGTAGAGATTAGCTCCTTAATTTTGCCCCCTCCCATTATATCTTAAATGTCAAAATTTCCAATTTGGACTTCTACACATGATTCAAACCCCTCTCATTTTCTTCTATAATTGTTCTTTAAATTCTTTTTTTTTTGGTACCGGGGATTGAACTCAGGTCCTTGCGCTTGCAAGGCAGGCCACCGAACCGCTGAGCTAAATCCCCAGCCCTGTTCTTTAAATTCTAATGTTCAGTGTTGGCTTTTAATCTTGTGTTTGGCAATTTGAAATATTTTATAAAATTAATTTTCTAATATTCGGTATCTATGTGGCATTTTATGTCATCTTTTAGGTAGACTGTAGAATCCAACTCAGGGTTTTTGGATTTTTTTATGAGTAAGAATGCTATTTGGGTCAGGGTAGGAAGAGGAGATGGAAAGGTTCCATTGTGTGATGCAGCATGCAGGCATATGTCTGATAGTAGACATTTCCTTTCCTCTTCTTCCTCTCTCTGTTCTTCCTCCATTTTATCTCATCAACCACTGAGGAGTTGTGATGATATTAGTAATATCCCTCAATAGCTTTCCAACTGATTACAGGGAGATTTTAAGGCAAATATTATATAGGATACGGCTTTTTGAATCCACATGTCATAAGAAATTTACCACCCTCCATTAAGAAAGACACAGTGTAACTTATGGCTTCCAATATTGACAAGTAGTAAAAACTGATTCCATATCATAGAATCTTTATTCACCTAGCCTTATGACACTTTCATTTTGCTAGATCTGATGGCTGAAAAATACACCAGGACTAATGCTCATAGAAATGCTGAGTCTCCATTTTCTTTACATTAGATGCTTTCTACACAAAATACCAGCTCTGGCAGTAATTTGAGCAGAAAGCTGTTCATGTGAAGGTATAACATCACAGTACTTACCTGGCAGGGGAGATACCATGATCACGAACATGGTTTTCACAGGGTAAGGCTCCATTGCACTCCAGATGTGCTGACCCCTGCAATTTCCCCGACTGTGGGAAACCCGACTGCATAATTGTGGTAGTGGGGGCTGTATTTGTGCTTTCCCCTGAAAAATAAAGTATAACATCACATACAACAGCAACTGTGTCAGCTCCAAGTAGTATTCTGCTCTGACATATCCTAGTGTCTGGAAATCCATCCATTGGTTTGATAAACCAAAGAAACCCAAGATTAAACTGTGTTGTTTCCAGAAAGTGTAATAGTAAAACAGAAATAATTATTATGTAGTGAGTAGTTACCATGTGACAACTCGGCACTGCAGGCTTTATGTGTTACTTTGTTTACTCTTCCCCACAAATCTTGGAGGTGTTATCACACATTTACATGTGAAGACACTGAAAACCAAACAGCTAATAAATGGATTTGGTAATTTTTCTTGTTCTGGCCACCACTATCTATTAAATTGATTATTAAGACATAGATATACTTTATCAAGTTAGTTAGCCAATCCAGTGACCATTGAGAGAGTTAGGCAGAGGGGAGGTGAGGAATGACTGTCACAGAGTGGAAAAAGAGTCACTTCTCATGAAAGTGTACATCTGGAGTTGCTTGAGGTGATGCTAAGGGTGGTGGCATGAACTATGATGGCTGTGCTTTTCCAAATGTGGTGTTTGACTTGTCTTTGAATCATGGTATGAGTTTGTAAATTTAAGGTGGGGACACTGCTTTGTGTGTGCAGTGCCCACCATTGGCTGGCTGGCTATCATTTAGTACCTGGATGAGGGTCTTAGATTTTACTGTACTAAGATTCCTCAAGTAAAGTGAACCAAACCAAAGAGAGTGTTGATTCATGTTTTTCCTGTTTAGTCATACTTCTGAATATGTGGTCACATGTATCCTAGGGTAAATGATAGCTAAATTGTCACCCATCTTTATTTCCACTTCAACAGAGTTACCAAATTGTGCTTTAACTCTGAATTTCCAGCAGGTTTCACAGCTGCAGTTTTTTTCTTAGCATTTTTTTAGGATTATGTGGATCAAAGAAGATTTTAATTCATTTCTCCAGATAATACATTCTCATAAGTCTTTTCTCTGCCAAAGGTAGGGTAGTATCTGCTACCTCTTTCTCATGTCCTTTTAGTGCAAATTATCTTTTTTTCCTTTGCAATTTCTTGAGTACCCAGTTGTTTTCTGTCTCCCCTTGAAATTTACCAAAAAGAGAGACAAATCATGCCTTAATGTAAAATGAAGGAGGTTTGTGGGGTGAATAGGGAATCAGAATAGAGATGAATGATACCACTTTCCCTCAGGTATTTGGAGGTTTCCAGACAACCAGTGCTCTTACCAGTGTTCCCCAGACTTTGAGAAATACTAGGTTGGCATTTTCTCTGTGGAGACTGCCCTTTGTCACTAGGATACTGTTACTTTTTTGTAGAGGTTTTCTTCTAAAGTAGAAGACTTGAAGTTGTAAATGGTTTCTGTTGTATTCTAGTTTCACCAAAAATGCATGGCATTAAAGAGCTAAAAAATTATTAATAATCTCTGCCTGGGTCACCCAATCAGGTTGGGAGAGGGGTGCTCTTAGGCTACTATTATGGTTGGCATCCAAAAGGCTCTTTGTGGTCAAGGCTGGGTTGCCAGCTGATGGGATTTGGGGAACTGATTTGATCAGGAAGGCTCCAATTTCAATAATTGGGTTAATCACTGATGGATTCATTAGCTGCATAGGCTGTGAAGAGGCGGGGCCTACTTGGATGAATTGTGTTACTAGGCCATGACTTTGGAGGGTATATCTTGTCCCCAGCCCTTCCTTTTTGGGTCTCGAAGAAGCTCTTCTCTTCCATATGCTCTATGCCACGAGGTACTGTGAAAAATTCTGTATAATCCCACCACCCAGAGATAAGTTTCAGTCCCTTTCAGCTTGTAAGTTCTATTGCAAACATTGTATTTCATGCTGCCTACTTACTAAATATTGAGAGATTAATATTACTTCTATGATGATGATGATGATGATTTATTAATAATTTCCTAGAGTTGATTCACAGAGATTTGAAATTATAGCCATAATAGAAAGTCAAGAGTTTATTTTCTCAGCTGGAAAGGAGAGAGAAGAAAAAATTGTAACAGTGATGAACTTTTTTCTAAGTGTGTATTTGTGTTGGGTGGTTCTAATTTAAAGACAGAGAAGTTATTTAACTACTGTTTTTATGATTCATTCTTTAAAAAATAGAATTATTTTCCTACCAAAACTTTGAAAAACCTCCAAGTTGTATCAGGAAGAATATTAAAAATGGGAGATAGCAACTTGGAGGATTTTAATTTGGAAGCTTCCAGCTTTTGGAACCCAGAGCACTAATCATGCCATTGGCCCTAGCTTTACTTGCCTCCAATATGGGGATCAGATTAAAAATGAAAGAAGTGCTTGGAATAATAGGGCAGGGATTGGAAAAGCTCAGTAAAAGGGTGTAGGTGCCTTATAATAACTACCTTTGTGTTTATAGCTTTTCTATGGTGAAAACCTAATCTGCACAAAGGCACCATGATCTTTCCAGTAAGAAATGAAGGAGTGGGTGACTCAGGAGCAGTCAGCCAGAAAAGTAAGTAAGTGGGTTTGGACATGTCACCCCAACAACCCACACAGAACAGCTGGTTACAGCGCTTGTCCCTTGAGTCTCCTTGGTGGACAAGGTTAACTGTAGTTGGAGCTTTGCATCTGAGGTCTTCTTGTAGTTACCTGCCACATTTACCTATTAATTTCTGTTCTTGAAACTCTAAGTGGGAAGCTTTCTGTTTATTCATTTTACTTTTTGGATGGGGAAGGGACTACCAATTGTATTCACTGTGTGTAGTTGCTAAAATTTTCCAGGAGGATTTACTGTATCAAAAAAGCAATTTTAGAAAGTAGAAAATGTAACAATCAAAACAAGACAAAACAGTGACACTAAAAACCATGAACTTGATAAAACTGATGAACTTGATGATTTTAATGCAATAAAGACATATTTCTTTTGTCAACAAGATAAAAAGAAAGGCAAATAGGAATTCTTGGAAAAACAAAAATTTGCAAAGTAAGCGCCAATTCAATATGAAGTGAACTATAGTGTGACAGGATTCTGAGTGATGTTATTAACAAAAAGAATGTACAAGAATTTGATGCTTGGAAATGGTATAGTGACAAAGGAATATAATCCCCTTTAACTAGAGCTATAGTTCCTTTAAGTGGAAATACAATTTCACTGTTTGGATCTGCATTCAATAAAAAAGACCTTCCTAATTGTAGTAGTAGCAATAACTGATTAGTTTCAATTGCTCATAATCAATCTATATGAAAGCAAGAAGGGTAAATTACATTTGCTAAACCAATTGAAAATGCTCTGAAACTTGACACTGCAAAATAATGATATAGATAATGACATGCAAGAGAGAGAAGGGCTAAAAGGCATAGTGATGTATAAGGGCATGTATATTCTCTTATTTCTAATGGACAGTTGAAGGGTACTCTTTAATCTTGATAAATGGAAAAATAGAGATTTGGGAATATAATTACAAATTAAACTAAAAAATAAAAGTTGTATTCATGGAAAGATACAAAGGGGAAAGGTGACAGTCCCCAAATCTTTCTTTCTCAGCGCGGTATTAATATAAACAGTTTAAAGTTTATAGAAACAGGATAGGGGTAAGGCAGGCTTCTACTTTTCACTCTTTATCCTTGTTCAATTTCTCTCTTTTTAAAAATCCATGTGTATGTTTTGAAATTGAAAAAAAAGTGACTACATGATCTACAAAAAATCATGATAATTTGAACTAGCAAAACTTTGCTAACTTTCCTTAGTATGATAGTCTAAATACAGGAAAATAAATTAAAATCTGCCTCTGTTTTTAGTTTTCAAGAAAAATATCTGAACAAAACAGAACAAGTTTGATGCTAAATAGATGGCACAAAGTCCAGGCAAGTGCAAAACCAGAAAGAAAATGGAACTGGTTGACTGAATGTGGTGGCAGCACTCTCAGAGGCTGAGGCAAGAGGATCTAAAGTCGGAGACCAGCCTAGGCAATTTTATGATTTCCAGAATAATAAAAAGGCTGGCGATATAGCTCAGTATGAAGCCCTTGAGTTTAATCTCCGGTACTGCAAACAAACAAAAGCCTGGAAAAATCATCATGGGATAATTCAGAGCAAAGAGCACTAGGTAGACAAGGGCAGATATTTTATAATGGCAAAAGTTACAATCGTCAGGAAATTACAATAGCTATGAATCTTTATACACAGAAAGCCCTGAAAATCGGTAAAGCAGAAACTATTAGGAAACAGAAGGATTGAAGAGTTAGATAAGAAAATATTAATGCATAGAAAATTAGAATAACAATTAAATGACTTAATGTACAAAAGTAAAATGCACTTTTAGAAAGTCTGCATTTATGAGGGAAATTTGAGAAATAGGGTTCTTGGCCCTGAGAGTTTGTGGAGATAGGAGGGGGTCAGACAGTTTATTCGAATACAGGTATTAGTCACTTCATAATAGAAGGAAAAAAGTTTCGTTTCTGTGACATTTTCTCATGGCAAAAATCCCATAAAATTGAAAACTTTGAGATAAAAGTATTATCAGAAGAGGCTGTAATGATTTTTAGCATGTGAGCTATAAATTCTGTTCTTATCACTAAGTCACTGAGAACTGATTGCTGAGTTTTCCAACTCAGTAAAACCGAGTAACCTGACCCTCCCCTCCTCCAGAATTCTATTGACCTTGATTCTTCTCCATGCCACTAGTCCTGCATCCACAGATTCCAGTGTAGAGAAAGAAAGAAGTTTTATTGTGACAGTTCTCTTCCTCTAGGAAGCTAAAGTTGAGGGAAAAAGGAGATTCTGCTGGGCACCTGGGAAAAAGTCCAGTGGGGCTGGTTAGGGGGAGGCAGGAATCAGACAGTCATGTACCTTGAGCATTGGAACAACCTTATCTAGCACTGAAGACCTGAAAGGGTAATCTACATTTAAGCCCAAGAGCACATTTTCTTTTTACAATCTCCTGGGATATGCCTTTTAAACAAATAATAGTGTGATGTTATTGAAATCTATGGACAAGGTGCTTCAGCACATTTGATACCTACCAT